AGTCAACTAAAATATAATATAGCTCACTGCTATTAGCTTCAAAATGTAACTTTTTGCAGGATTCAACCAAACTCTTTACCAAGTAACTACAATTTAGCTCATTACGACTAGCCTTGAGATTGAGCCTTGAGATTGAACCTTGTGAGTTACATGCCAAACACCATCTAAGATATGCTGACAGACATGACAGGCATGGTAGGCTAGCAATATTAGCCAACAAAAAACAAGGGTGAGAAGGCCAGACCCGTTTCAATTCTGTAATATTTGCAGGATTAGCGCTGAATGTAAAGCGTACTGTGTGATAAACTGTCCTCTATGCTAACCTGCAGTTGAGCTTGTGCCTCTGTACACACTGAGATACTTTAGCCTCAGAAAATAAGTGTAGACACTGCCAGTCCATTAGTTATCTCAGCTGCTCAGGTGTGTGTGTGCTGAAAACAGATTTCTCTGACACAGGCCACCTTGTGCTACATTGTTTTTAAGATGATTTACCTCAGCCCCACACACGCACACCTCTATAGCTGCCAGGCTTTGGGCTAGAGTGCAGTAGGTAATTGTTATGGAAGCTCAGTAGGCTGCAGTACTCCTGTGGCACTCTAACTGCTTTTATTCTGTTGTGCTGCTGTACTGCACCTGACTAGCAGATGACACAAGATGTCCTCTCCTCTGTCTGCTGGACAATTACACATTAATATTCATGGAGGAGTAGAACAGTAAGTGTCCTAATGTCCCTCTCCCTCTGTCTGCTTTCTAAAAAAGCAATAACATAGGCATGGACGCTCGCTTCTAGAGGTCAGAGTAGCCAGCAATGACACACACACACACACTTTGAACTATAAAATCTCTCCACTGTGCATCTTTACAATGCTTTGAAGCTTGTGACAGCTAGATCCATTTCCCCTATGCAATGGCCATGTGCTATACCCTATTTTGTACCAGGCACATCAGCGTCCTAAGACCTCATGATCTATGCTTATATGTAGACCCATACACCCCCTCTGAGTGCACACACTCCTCAAATGCCCATAATCTCTCTTCTCCTCCAACACTTGATTTTATTATACAGTCTGTCATAGGAGGGGTTAACATTTTTTTATTCTTCTAGTGCTTACCTTTCTAAACTTTTGTCCAGGGCCATGATATAAAAAAGTGTTTTTATTTTCAGAAGAGTGCCACAAAAACTATTTTTGTCATTTTTGAACCATTTTTGACTAGAACACCTTCATTAGATACCTACATAACTATTCTTACAAACCTAGACCTTTCTAGTCAGGTAGAAAAATAAATCTATACATTTTTCTGCAGAAGTATGTCAAAATTATGACTTATCTTAAAATAATGACTTATTTCCTAAACAGTTTTATACAGTATTTTAAAATAATGACATTTTTTTTTATAAACATTCAACTTTTGAAATAATAACTTGTTGTCTCAAAGCTTTTACTAGGCATACCAAAATAATGACTTATTTGCTTAAAATATCTCAAAATGATGACTAATTTTCTCAAAGTTGACTCATAATTTACTTAAGGTGTAATGTTGGCATACTATTTTGAAATAATGAGTAATTAAATTTCAAAAAGTAGATATTTTTGGATAATGAGTCATTATTTGAGACACAAAGTCAAAATGTTGAGAAAAATCATTTCAGCATAGTGAGTCAAAATGTTGAGAAAATAAGTCATTATTTCAGGATAGTAAGTGAACATCTCAAGAAAATACGTAATCATGACACTGTAGGTCTTATTTTTGAGAAAATACGTCATTATTAAGTAAAAATTTTGACTTACTGATTTTTTCTCCTCTACCTGTCAGGAATGGACCTACACTTGTACCCCTTTGGCAGCACTTTGAAAATAGTTTTACTCATAACCTCTTTCTGTGGTATTATTACATTGTCTGTCTTTCTATTTTGTACATAGTCAGGATTTCATTTCTACAAATTCATTTCGCAGGTTTTAACCCCTATCTGCATTACATTTTTACTATGTTTTTTTCCCATAATCTCTCATCCCCTTCAACACCTGATATTATTAGACTGTCAATCCTGGGAGGGGTTAACATTTCTGAGCATGCACAGAAGCCCACTGCTGTTAACATGGCGACACCCCTGTGTGACCTGAAACCTGAAACTCTCAGAGCCTGCTGTACAGGTAGGGGAGAGAGAGAGAGAGAGAGAGAGAGAGAGAGAGAGAGAGAGAGAGAAGAGAGAGAGAGAGAGAGAGAGAGAGAGAGAGATGGTTTGAGGAAACACTGGTTTGAACCAGTGACATAACTATGTCTGTTGTCTTACTTCATCACCAAGCACTAGCATTCTTAGATCTAGTGCTGGCAAGGATGTCCTTATCTGACCCCAAGCCAAGACTAAGTATAAGGTTGGGCATTAGGTGATGAGTGCCAGCACAGGTCAGATGAGGAGAGGAGGATAAATGACAAAGTGATACATGAAAGAAGGAATAAGGAAGTATCCCAAATAGACTCAGACCTATACTATTACATGATGCTAAGCTTTAAGCTAAGCTGCAGACCTGATTTAGCATGTGGGAAACAAACAGGCCTTCAAGATGCCAACTTAGCTGCTGCGGGAGAGAGAGGAGAGAAAGCCAGAATGTAAGGTATAAGAGAAAGAAGAGAAATAGATGGAGGTGTGCAGTTTCCAGGAGGCTTTAATTTTGGATTTGAGTGTCAGACCCTGAGGCTGCAGCCTTGCCAAAACAACAGCATGCTTAAAAGGTTTGACCCCTTAAACTACAAGGGTTTGTTCACTCTCATAACTACATCCTTTACCTAGTAGTTTCAGGGCAGTTACTGCATAAATCATAGTAGTTACTGAATAATTAAAAGTAGGTGATAAACCATTTGCAGTAGTTGAATAATAGGTCTTAAAGGGGAATTCCAACGATTTTTCAAAATTCAGTTGTTAAGCTATAAACATATTCAGAGTGGTTTGATGTGAAATGGTAGATTGCAGAGAAACTTATCAACTCTGATTTCTGTACAGTGGTTATGATAGGAGCCAGGAGTCGCAATGTCTCCAACACAAATATAGCCATTTTATTTGTTATTCAAAATAAACTAGTGAACTTACACGTCTTCTGAGGTTAACAGTTAATGTTGATAATGGTAAAACAAAAGTAAATCTGGGGAAAAAAAAATTCATTGGGGTCTGTTCTGTCTTACAGTGTCCTGTATGTAACTCTCCAGCATGATGGATTAAAAAAAAACTTTTTTGACAAATGCCTTCTCAAAACTATCAGAAAACAAGGTCCCAGGCATGAATCAACATATCTGTAACAATTTTGTGTTATAACTTTCTGTGATGTAGCTTTTTTATAGGCATTGAAGGCTTTGAACGTCTGGTTCCTATCACCACCACTGTGAACTACTCTAAGTGGGTCATTTTCTCAATGGCACATTTCACACCAAACCACTCTAAATGACTTTGTTTGCATCTTAAACATTTAATTATATAACAATTTGAGAAATTGGTAGAATTACCCCTTAAGATGACTCGCTGCATAATAAGCCTGCAGTTTAATTAATTAAAGGATTACACATCCTTAGTAGTGCACCTGATCTAACGCACACATAGACAAGCATACATACACAAACACACATACATACCTACACATAGACACGTACACACACACTATTGCTCTCAGTGTCACCTATGCAGGTGTGTTATTGCTGGACTGGTTACATTGTGTGTGTAAGGCTTATGGGTGCAGTGCATACTGAGATCAGGAGTGTCCTGACTGATCCAGGCAATCAAACAATCAATCAATCAATCACTCAATCTGTTAATCAGTCATCCCACCCCAGCACAAACTTGACCAGGTTATTCGCACCATGTGTAACACACCCCTCTTTTTTTGTCTCTCTCTCTCTGTGAGTCGTTCATATCAGCCCTCCATCCAACTGACCTAACAGAGGGAGAGGTCAGTCTTGCCTATGAATCACTCTATCTCATCCCTTCAAACCTCTCCCTCGTTCTCAGACCAAAATGTGTGTGTGTGTGGGGGGAAAGAGAGAGTGAGTGTAAGAGTGCATTACTAAAATGCAGTTAACCCAGCCTAGTTTTCTGACAGTAAAGATCAGTGACCTGTATATGCTGTGACCTTTTTAACCACTTCCCTCTTTACCTCCCCCACTTTTTTCCTCTCAGTCTGTCATGTTCGACAAACAGTGTTTCCCACACACTTTCTTTGGGCAGTCTTTTGTCCCAATGTTAATAATATCCAATGTCAATTTCTTCCCATTTGAACTAATTCCTACAAGAAGATATTTCATATTGTTATAAATAAACATGACGCACAGTGTCATTGATGCAAAGCATCACTCTACAATGCCCAAACCTACACTTTAAAAGAAGGCTTTGTTTATCCAATTTCCAGTCTTACGGTCATGACAATTTCCACTAGCGCATCTATGGGATTTCCAATGTCATTCCAGCTTATTCGATGCCTTATTCGAAATAAATAAGCAAACGCTATGAGTTTGGATAGCCACTCCCTAAACCCCCTAAGTTCAGACCTGTGGGAAACACTGAAAGGATCTGGCTGGGGCCTGTGTGAGCTCCTGTGACTGTGAGTATCCTCATGCACAAGTACAAAGTGCATGTGGTTGTGGGTCTATTAACACTCAGTTACACTCCTTAATACTACTTAAAAGTGGGAATGCACCCATTGTGGCTTTCTGGAAAGGAACATTCATTCTTTAATCAGCAATGGAGGGCAGCGCTCCATTACCTTCATACCAATAATATCTCCCGCTCTCTCTTACACACACTTCTTTTTCTTCTTCAGAGGCACTACACTGACACATCCTTCTTAAAGTGCACTTAAATCCACTTTATCATCAAAACTCCAAATCCCAGCATCCTCTGCACATAGGTTGCTAATTTCTCCCCTCATTGGTTAATATCTCCCTTGTCAATCATCGCTCTTCCTGGCATTCACCATTGGGGTTACGGTCGTCACGGTTGTCCCTCCTTCCCTCGGTCACACCTGCATGCCGGGCTTGCTCAGGTCCCCATTGCCATGGTTACTTGTGCCACCTCGGGCGGCACCGTCCTCCTCGTCGTCGCTGTCCAGCTCCTCGCTCTTCCTTTTGCTGTAGCGCTCGTAAAGCACCATGAGCACGCCCATCACCCAGGCCGAGACAGTGCCGGCCGAGAAGATGACGAAGCCGATGGCGATGAAGAACAGGTAGTCCCAGTAGCCCAGGCCCTGGTGGCACTCGGAGCGCAGCTGCATGCCCACCTCGGACAGGCGTCGACCTCGCATTTCTGCTGGACCCTGGCACACCGTCTGACCCTCATCTAGAAGAGAAAGGAGCAAGGCGGGGAGGGAACAAAGCAAAGGTTCTTTAGTTTTACCCTGAATGGTTTGACTATAGTTTTAATATGCTGATGTTGTTTTGGATCAATGATTGTGACACTGTTGTGCTTAGAGGTCGTTCAGCGAAATATCGAATTTAAACACTTTTTCTTGCCCTAAATGTCAATGAGCCAAGACATATTTGGTGTCTGAAGGTCACCAGTTAGCTATGTACTTGTTAAAACACACTCTGACTGAACATTTCAGTGAACAAGAAACTCCTTGTTCCATGTATGACCTTTGACCATGACGTTAACCATGACCTTAGGAAGGACCTTTCATAGTTTCCCTTAATTTATCACATTGCGGTATATCTGAGCTGAACACAGGACCGTGGGAACGTAGGGCCCTGGAACCTAGAACCCTGTGAACACAGGGCCCTGGAACATAGAACCCCAAAAACATCCCCTGGGAACACAGATACGCTCCCACTGGAAACAGCTGTGGTTATTTTAGGTAATTTTGCCAGTACTTTTGTCCATTTTTTATAGATAACAGTATGTAAGAAACCTTACAAGCAAGTGTAACCAGCACTGTCTGAGGTAAGTGTGTGATGATTTAGCCATGCAGTTTGCTCTGTGCTAACTAATGGATATAAGCTTTCATTACTTGTTAGCTACTTTAGTCTCATACATTAGCCACTCCAGTGCAAAATTAAAGAAGCAAACATCAGATATCCAGCATGTTTTGACTGATTAGCTGCAATTAGGGTAAAAATTGGGGAAATTGTATGCTCACACACATCAGCTAAACCGCTTATCCTTCAGTTACAAAATTTTTTTGACCACACTTTTGCTTTAGTAGAGTACTTTCTTGACCAGTGCTTATCAGACAAGTAGTCAAGAATACAACTATACACCGTATACACTATTCGTTTTGATCTGTATGAGTTTGTATGCATGAATGAAAAAGTGGTTGCTCTTCTCCTGCCAGAAACTATTGATTTTGCTACTGTATTAACAGAATGTAGGGGATATTGGTTGGTCTCTTAATACATTTCTCACTGTCTCTTTTTTAGTTCTCCATTTCTCTCTTTTGTTCATCTCCATAACCTCCCACCCACACACCCAACTGCCCATACACACATGTATACACACACACTGAGTCTAAAGCCCGGTGGCCCCGCCCCAGAGGAAGATACAGGTCAGTGACCATCATCCTCATCTCAGAGGCTGAGCCCAGCAAAGCAGCAGCCTGTCAGCTCTACAGATCACTGACAGAAAGATCTCTCTCTCACATACACACACACCAACACACACAGAGACTCCAGTTTGTCTCTGATCTCTCTCAGATCCACTACCAGCAGTCTCTTATTACACATGTCCTTCCTCAAAACACACAGAAATCCAGAGGCATCTCTTCATCTCTTCTCTTCTTTTTCCTTTTTCTCTCTACCTCATAGACATTAATTGATGGTCTGCTCTAGCAGGGAAAGGACCCCCTCCTTGATGCATTACTATAATAAATGGTGTTAATAAAATGGTGCTCATTTTCCAATAAAGTAGGAAAAAAACTGAAGGGAAAAAAGAGAGAGGGAGAGGGAGAGAGAGATAGAGAGAGAGGCAGGTGATGAATAATCTATGGGTCACACAGCTTGGCTGGCCTCTAGGCTGAGGTAAGACTGTTATATGGGAGTCATGTCTGAGGCCAAATGTGGTCTGCTACTGACGCAAATCTGATGCGTAATTAGTCTGATATTTATATTCTCATTGTTTCCTGTTTGCACAAGACAGTAAGAAGGAGGGAATTAGAATTGAAAGCATACCAATTATGTCCTCTAAATCTGTTCATACAGGGTGACTCAAAAGTCAGAAGCCACCCAAACACATGGCACTTAACGTTAGATTGATCTCCTCATATTAAACCGGTGGGTCTATCTATGATATATGATACCCACCGGCCTAGAACACAATAGAAATGATGAGATCAACCTAACATCAAGCGTCTGACTTTTACCCTGTGGATTGTTTACCTAACTTAGGGGCTGTTTATACAAAAACCTGCTTATCCAGCCACATTGGTACACCAAGAAGCTTACCCAGTGACAGATTAGGATCACTGTTTTTGTTTTTCTTCTGCGGACTGGTCACTAAAGGAAGCGGATCAGGGATGATTAATCTCGTTCCCAAACAGCCAAAATAGCAAAGCTACATTATGCGAGTCATAATGATGATTAGTGCCTTGCTTACTTTACTCCTCCGGCCAGAGAGCAATTACGACCAGCTAGAGCAGCAAGACTGTTCTCTAAACCCTATCATGAGACCAGATCCTCTCCACAAAGCAGAGAAACATGAAAAATATGCAGTAGGATTGAAGACAAATGCTAAAGTGAGCAAGTGAGAATAGCCTCCACTACAGCAAAGCAAAACTTTGTTATTACATCTTTAGAAGTGGATTGGGTGAAAACAGAACCTCATAGACTCTGGAAGTATAGGCATGAATGCTTCATGAATGCTGAAGGTCTACAGCTGCTGAGCTGTTTTAATCTGAATGAGAGAAATAAAATTATAATATGTTTATGGACTAAAACCCACTGAAGTAACCTACACCACTGACATATAGAACACTGGCCTGCATCAATTTCCATGGTTACACTAGGAGTAGCGAGCTCAGAGAAAGCACACACCATTACTGTCTAAAAGCTACTACAGTGAAAAAGGTGGACCAATACAGTGAAAAAGAGGGAAAAACTGTTTGATATCAAGCAGAAACAGATTAAAAGTAAGTGTTACTTAAACTGCTATTTAGATGTTAATTTTTAGTTATTTAATAAGACGATACTCCATTTCATCAGCGCTAACTAGTTGAATTACCAGACGAATAATGGAATGGGGTGTCTTAGCTAACGTTGGTTGGCATTAACATTAGTGTTAGCTGTTACTATACAGACCATCATTTTGTTAGCCCTAATGGTAAGCTAGCTCTTATAGCCAAAGCTACCTAATATCTAGAGCTCATGTGTCAAATGCAAGGCCTGTGTGCCAAGTCAGACCCGTGACACAGTCTTATTCGGCCTGTTTTGAATAAACAATGGCCTGTCCGGGTCGTGGCAAAATATTAAGTAAAAATGAAATAAAAACACAACTGGCCCACAGATTTGCTGAGGTTTTTTAATAGGGTCCTTTGAGTGGTGGAGTTCGACACCCCTGATCTATAGTAAAAATCATTGCTATAATACAGGGGTGTCCAAGCCTGGTCCTGGAAAAAAACTACTTTACTTTAATGTAAGTCAATGGAACCAGAGTTTTTTCCCAGTAATTTTGAGCTGTTTCTTTTGGTCCATTCATAATGAAATTTACACACAATGTAGGCCAACAGGTATTTTCAATTTATGTCAAAAACTATATATAGGATACCTTTGGATACCCTTGTTTTAATGTGCTATGAGTGAAAGTTAATATAAAATGACCACATACTTCTGTTACTTTTGTTATACTGATGACAACTGTGACGGTTGGTTAATGATATTATGTAAAGCAGTATAATTGGGCAATACTTTGTCTGAACCAGCTTTCATCTCATGTAACAGAGCTAGGTTGGTTCATTGTCTGTTGTAGTAAGCCACTCACTCCTAGAGACCAAGCCATGCTTTCAGGGTACTTGGTACAGCATGTATTTATAGCATAGCATGCCAAAGGTTTGAGCCCACGGCTTTCCAAATAATGAAGTTGAAAGCCATTGCTTCAGCCTTTTGTGACTGCTCCGCTTGCTTTATGCCAGTATCAGTGCAATGATTTGGATGCACATTCCACACGGGCAAGGCATCAGACTATAAAGCTACACACGATCAAGCTATATCGGGCTGGCTTCAGGGCTGGATCTGTGTGGAGGCAGCGGGCCTGATGGTACATGACTGGACCATGGGCTTGTAAGGGATGGTAGACAGTCCAACCCTGTTGGTGAACAGGGTTGGACTGATTCCGTGAGCAGATACGGATCTGATTTGGAAGGGAGATGCAGTCTAACATTTATTAAATTAAGATGACAATCAATATTAGTCTTCAATTATTTTTTAATAAAAAACCTCCCAAAAAAACAAGAAATACTGTACTTACCTCACAGTTTAATTTAACAGAGAATTTAATTTTTATATCACTATTTTATCATTAACAACATTACACATAAAAGCTAAAAAGACACAGGTAGGTTCACCGATCCCTGGTTCCTATCACCACTACTATAAACCAATCAGAGTCAGAAAGTTTCTCTACAATTTCACATCAAACCACTCTGAATGACTTTCTTTACAAATTTGAAATTCAATTTGAATTGCCCTTTAAGTAGGCCAACAGGAGACTTACCTGTTGTCTTGTTCATGAAATGAAATAAATGTTACAGTCAAATAAAGTAATATGACAGGCAGTAGATTCTGCAAAATTTGTCTCATATATTTTGTATCACTGATCAGCTCTCATTTATTGGACGGATGGAGGTTCACCAGCTTTTCTTGATGATCACATATGTACAATGTAAATTGTCTGATTCTGATCTGTAGCTGATCAATATTTCCATTCCTAATAGATAAGTACTTGGTTAAGTATTTGCTTGTGATAATAGCACTCATGAAGTGATGTGGTGCATGAATCAGACTGACCTAGTGACTGACCTTATAGAATATTCCAGACAAGGGACACCGGAGGACACATGTTCTCTCTCTCTCTCTCTGTGTGTGCTATGTCTGTATGTCTGTCTGATTGTCTCTCTCTACCTCCCTTTCTTTCTACTGCCCTCTCTCTCTCTTTCTCTCACTCTCACTCTCTCTCTTCCTCCCTTTCTTCCTCACACTCATTCTCTTTCTCTATTCTTTTCTTTCTCTCTCTTGCTCTCTGTCCCCTCCCCATCTCTTTCATCTCAAGGGCACATTAGCGCATGTCGATGTCCCTTGTGTCGGCACTGTCACCATCTGTGACGCACACACTCACATGCAAACACACAAACAGAG